AGAGTTGGGATGTGTATGTAGGAATCTGGTCCCAGGGCTTACCACCTAAGCTAAACCTACTTATAGGTGGTGAGCCCTGGGGCCAGATCCCTAAATAGCTAAATCTACCATCTAGACCAGCTCCAAATGTTTATGGGCTTCTCGTGATGGATGCAAATAAATGAACAAGTAAGTTTAGGACTGCCCTTTAAGTCTCTAGTTTTGGGTTTTCCTTCCCCTTGGATCTTTATCTATAGGTACGAGAAGAAAAAGGTCAGGGGCACGTTCTCATGAATCTTGCCGTCAGTCCTATGGGAATTAGTTCCCCAGCAACTTGACAGGATGCTTCCTGGTATAGTGAAGGCAGCAATGGATGAGGGACCTAGAGAACAGGGTCTAGTTCTGCTTCTTTCACTTGTAGTTCAAGACCTTTGGCAAGTGTCCACCTGTTCTTGGTCTCAAGTCACTCACCTGTTAAAAGGGGAGTTCAGTCCAGAAGGGGATATTTTAAGCTCCCTTCCACCCAGACCGTGTAGATTTAGGTAGGGCAGTTCAGGGCCACCACTCACAGATGGGCAGATTTGATGCTGCACAGCCTAAGGGGTGCCATTTGCATAGAGTATGATGTGAATAACACTTATATGTATGTGTCCTAGGCTGAGTTAGCAGGATCTTCCCATAAACAGAGAGGGTTTTTGTGCAACCCTGACCCTGGTCCCTGGGAGCTCCTATGACATTGAGACTCCTGAGCCTTTCAGAAGCTCCCTGGGAGTCATGCTCCTGCATTTTGGCAACTGAGTTAGACTCAAGTGTGGACTTACGGGACAGCAGAGTTGTCCAAATTGTCATAGGCAGCTGTGCAGTCTAGTGTAGTAAATCCCTTAGCATAATGCTGGCCATCCAAGAAAGTCCTCTAGAAATGTTAGCTGGTCTTATTACTGTAGTGGAGTAGAGAAGAACATGGGACAGGTCCCCTCATGGGACTCAAGAGTTTGACCCCATCTCTGAGTCGGCTTGGCACAGAGCCAGCTTTGATAGGAAGCTGACCCTGCTGTTTTTGGTCAGGGGAACATGTCTGACATCAGACTTTGCAAGACTCTATTGAGAAATCAGTTGTGTGTCTGTCTTCTCTGGGAAGGTGACTTGTGAATGTCTCTGAAGCTGCTGGGGGAGGGGCCTTGAGTTGGGGCAGGATCTCCATTCCTCCCCACATTCCCTCCCCATCCCCACATTGGTTCCACCTTGGGCAGGTAGAGTGGTCCGGAGGAGGCTGCAATGCAAGGCCACCTTGCTTCGGGCTCAGGGTCAGCAGGGGTTGGAGGGTCTTAGAGAGTGGAAGCGTACAGTATGGAGAGAGAGGGGAAGTAGAATATAGACCTGTAAGGGAAAGACTGACCTTCACAAACAATTCTCATTCCAACAGTGCGTTTCTCATTGCTAGTTTGGGCCTCTCTGCCATCATTGCTTCTGGGAGAGTGGGTTTTAAACTTGAGTCTTGATCAGACTCATCTGGGCCTCCAGATTCCCAGGACCCACCCTCACCTACTCAGATTCAGTAGCACTGTGACCCTCACCATACATTAACCTTAAGCTGGGGTGGTGAGTCGGATACCTTCCATTTGTCCTCTAGGTCCACTCTCTGCCTTTCTTACCCTGCTCTATGCCCTGGGAATCTGACCGATATGGACTACCTCAATGGATTCCCCTGTCCTCTGGATTCTGAGTTCAGCCAATGGGAACCCTTGCAGCAGATGGATGGGCAGGAGCTTCAAGTCAGGCATCCCCCAGCTCTGTCCCTGCTAGTTGCTGGGATTGGCTCCTGCCAGGGAGCCCTCATCGTACAGCTTCCTCCACGTAATGGCACCCTCGCCTCACCCCTTAGGCCTAGTGGCATTAACAGCTCCCAGCTGTTACTGACCCTGGGGTAATGCACCATTGCTCATTACATTCCCCAAATTCTTTCCGCACTTTACTAAACTCTCACGAGTTTGATAAAACGCTCTCTCCTGGCCCAGCTCCAGTCTGCCATCTGGTTCTGCCGGGGTTCCGATCCATTCAGGGGTTGTCCGTAAAGCTGCCTTCGAAGCAAGGGGCCCATTTTAAACATGGCACACTTTTAGAAACACTGCTTCATGGCCTTTACCGCTCTCTAGTTCTTTTCTGGCCCCTTGGTGCTTAACTCATTTGAGACTAAGGTGACGTTTTGCGAAAGCAACTTTACCAGAAATGAAGTGGGAGAAAAAAAAAAAAAGGACTGTTCACTGAGAAAATACAAAGGCCTAGAAACATATCCACAAAGCCTAACCCCTTGTCTGTGAGGAGGCCGATATGTGTGCTGCCTGGCATGCCCCCTGCACGGACAGTCAGGCCTCAGCTCCCGCATTTTGGAGAAAAGTCCACCCCAATCAAATACACTGAAACAATGCAAAACTGTATGAATTAATCCTGCATATCACTCTACCCTCCAGTTCTCTTTAACTATAACTCCTTTCAACAACTGTGTGTATTCTCCCAGATGTTTTCCTGAACACTTATTATATATATTTTTTATTATTATTTTATGTGTTTTTACACACATGGATAAGCCATTTACTACACACACTGCCCTACTTTCCTTTTTCATCCAGCATTATTTCTTTTTTTTTTTTTAAAGATTTTATTTATTTGACAGAGAGAGATACAGCGAGAGAGGGAACACAAGCAGCGGGAGTGGGAGAGGGAGAAGCAGGCTTCCCGCGGAGCGGGGAGCCCGATGCGGGGCTCGATCCCACGACCCTGGGACCATGACCTGAGCCGAAGGCAGACGCTTAACGACTGAGCCACCCAAGCGCCCCCATCCAGCATTATTTCTTAAAGATCTTTCCAGGTCCTCTTGTATCACTACTCATTATTTTTTTAAAGATTTTTTTAACAGCTTTATTGAGTATAACTTACCTACCATAAAATTCACCTGCTTTAAGTACACCATGTGATGACTTTTTAGCAGGTTTGCAGAGTTGTACAACTATTACCACAATCCAGATTTAGAATATTTCCACTGCTCCTAAAAGAAGCCTTGTGCCTGTCTGCAAGCATTCCCTGCTCCCCTCCCCAACCCTACCACGCACCTGCTCTCTGTCTCCATAGATTTGTCTTTTTGAGACATTTTATGTCAGTGGAATCATACAATATGTGGTCTTCTGTTCTGGCTTTTTCCACTTAGCACCACATTTTTGCCTTGTGTTTAAACCACTGAATCCAATGTATTCCATGGCCTGGATGCTCCTTCACTGTCTATTGGACCCTTTCCCTCTTGTTGAACATTCAGGTTGTTTCTAAGCTTTGAGTTTTAGAAAGAACGCCATGACAAATATCCTGTACACATTTGTCTACCTATGTGGGTATTTCTATAGGGTGGATTTCTAGAAGTATAATTCCTGGATCAGAAGGTATATGCACTAAAATAGATATGATCAAATTGCCTTCTCTCAAGGTTGTACCTATTTACCCTGCTACAAATGTGCATGATAATATTGTCTTCTAATCTGGTGGATTCTGACCCCAAAACTATAGGATGTAGTAGCCTCCACTTGGCTCCCTGCAGTGGTTCCTCCAAATGACCAGAGTTGTCCCTTTGTTCTTCTGGTAACTTTCTTCATATTTTTCCTTTATTTTACTAATCAAAAGCATAAAAATAGGTGAATAGGACACATACTACAGGTCTTGAAAACTAATGACTATAGCTTTAAGAATAATAATACAACTAATCCCAGGTAGCCATAATCTAGGTAAAGAAAGAGAATATTCCCAGTACTCTCAAAAGCCCGAATGTGTTCCTCCCTGATAGATTCAAACTCTAAATAAACATTATTCAAACGTTGGTGGTGATCATTCTTTCTCTTTATAGTCTGCACTTAAGTTTGCCTGAAAGATTTCCAATGAGTCAATTTAGTTAAGCTGGAATCATGTTTCATCAAATTCCCTCCCTTTCTCGCCTAGTTCCACGTTAGCGTCAGCCAGAAGAGACTTTTGTGTGAGCTTTGGAAGGTGGAAAGTGGAGCAGAAGTGACATTCTTTTTTATGCTCTGGAAGGTCAGCGCAAGGCACCAGACACTGGTCTCTGCTGTCCTTAATTTGCTGGCTCCTCTCGTTAGTGTGGGGCAGCAGCTGAATCAGCCGTACCTCCTGCTCCTGAGCCTCGTGTGTTCTGACCTTCATGATGCAGTCATCAGCATCTCCAGCAGTCCGTCTGCATGTTGAACTTGGAGGCCACGAGAGACCGGGCGCAGGTTTCGGTCTGTCCTTGCAGTTCCAGCTCACCCTCACTCTTGTCTGCTTCATGGGATCTTTCCTCCTTGGCTCTCTGTCCTGCCACTTTCGGGTCCCAGCACCAGAAGCAAAGACAACAGCCTGACCTAGACTATTTAGCCCACTTCCACAATCGCATACAGTCAAATCCCTATAATGAATCTCTCCTCCAAGCGGTCCTGCTTTTCTGATGGAACCCTGCCTGATAGAGGCTTGTTTTGCCTGTCTCTGAATTTTGTGTCGGGCTCCAACTGTCTCTTTTCTTTTAGAGAGAGAGTGTGCACATGTG